CTTCATCTTTGCTGTTATTATCAAAGTTTCAGCTGTTATACCCCCTCCATCCCCAGGCTTCATCAGCTGCTTGTCAATCCAGGTAACCTTCAGGAAATTACAAACTGAATTCTTTATTTAATCTACAGGGGTAGAATGTTCTTGTTCCACTGAACATGTGTAGGGATATCTCATCTACTTCTTTCTGTCTGAATTTCTGATATGAGGATTTGTCATTATTTACACTATTTACGTTTGGACTATTGTTCTTATCTTATGTCATTTTATCAAATATGTGCTGAAAGAATCAGTGCATATGCTCGGTTATGAGGATCCCCTTATCAGGCCTAGCATAGAAATAAATACAATATGGGAGTCACTAATAAAGAGAAATGACAGCAAGTCTTCAACAGCAGTAGCAATAAAAAAAAAACAAAAACAAAAAACATGTAAGTCAGCAGCAACACTTATCCTTTACCACCATAGATTAAATAAATGACGGCCAAAATGTGATAACAACAAAAATAAGGACAATAGTCTTCATATAATGTAAACATTTAGTTCTTATTTAGCACTGCTCAGTTATTGTTCACTTTGTTTTAACTAAGTCCAAGTTTGCAATGCCCAGTCCATGTGACAATAGTAGATTAAACTGTTAGTTTACATATTTGGTGATATAGTAATTGTGAGTTCAATCTTTGGGCCGGACATTGCAGACTTGAACAAACTGGGTGAGTAATAAACTAGGCACTGCTAAATAAGAACTCGGTGTGATATCCCTAGACATAGACATTGGAGCAAAAACATTAAAGATCATGGACATTAAGATTAAATAAAGGTCTGTTCAAAATTCTCTAAAGGTTGCCTGGGTTAACATGCACCTGATAAAGTTTGGAAGGCACCATGACCTAAATACAATAGTAAAAACAAGGATAAGAACAATTGTCAGTATGTAAATAGTTTCTTGATTTTCAAAGATGTTCAGTCCTACATAATGACTAGCAGTACCAACTGCTTGCAATTCACTGTATTTTAGAATGTGGAATTGATGGTTTAGGTAAAAAGAAAATAAAAAAAATAACCTGATTATCCATACAACTTGAAGCATATCAAATAATCTAGAAGAGAAACAAATGATAATCTTTAATCTCAGAGGGAAATTACTTTGCTTTGCATACAAAGAAGGGATTAGAATTTCCACTGATCTAAGCAAATGAGAAAATCAATGTTTATTATTTAAAGCAAAATTCTTCTTTATGATAGCTTTTGGTTATAAATCTTTGACCAAAAGCCTTTCAAAATAGACAGACATTTTAGTGATAAGAAATCAGTTGTTTCATAATTTGAAAAGGAACTTGTTATTAGTTTTATTATTTTGCAGCAATTTTAGGACTTGTCTGTCTTAATCAAATTTTCATCCTATACTAATTTATTTATTTATTTTTTTTTTTTTTAAAATAAATTTTCTGTGGTAGTAGAATTTATATCAAATTTCCCTTTATTTTACCAGCTTTTTTTTTTACACTTGTATTACAAACAATGTGCTGACATTGATTTTTTATTCTATAGTGAAGTTGACAAACAGTATAAATCTTCAATTTGGGAAATTACTTTTTGTATTCACATTGGACGAGATCTGGTTAAAACCAAATTGTAAATCTATAAATTTTGGTCTAATTATATTTTTCTGCTCCCTCTTGAAAACCATATATTACATCCCATAAATTAAAATTTGCATTTATGATATTTAAATTGAACATCTGGAAACTATTGTTTTCAATCAAGAAAATCTACATCTATAAAGGTGTTGCCAATTTAATACAAATTCCAAGAACCAATAATATTAAAGAGGATATAAATCTGTGGTGATTTGATGCCAAAGATGGTAAAAATTTGATTCTGTCAATCTTTGATTCCATATAAACTCTGCAAAGTAATCCTCCATTATATATTATATTTTTTCTGTACAAAGATTCATCAAATTCCATTATTGACTTGACATTCAGGCACACCCAGTTGCTCGGGTTGATTATGGAAATGCACAACTAGGGGGACGCAAAAGTACATTAGCGCCTAAATTTTTACAGTTTGTACAGTTCACTTTCAGACTTATTGATGAATGGAGATTATATACACACATACCCCCACACACACAAACATAATCATAATTTTTATCTCCAGAATCTATCTTACATGTTTATAAGTCTTTTTATTCATGCCACATCTGGTCTGGTGCTCCTGCTATATATTTAGAGATTCTTGATAAAATCCAAAGACTCTGCAATGTTATTGGTCCTGACCTGGCATCTTGCCTTCAGTCACTTTTCCAATACTGTAATGTAGCTTCCCTGTGACTTTTCTATAGATATGTTCATGGTAATTGTTTTGATGAGCTTTCCTCTTTGGTACCTCAACTTTACAAATTTAATTTTATAAATTTAATTGAATACTAGATTAGCAGCAAGGTTTCATCATTTTACAGTTGAATTGGTTAGAGGTAACCATAAGTTTTATGCTGACAGTTTCTCACTTTTAGAAATCTCCCCTGGCTTCTTGCTTTCCAGCAAACTTTGATGTTCAAAATTTAAATGCAATGTCAATCATTATCTACTGTTTTCTTGATTCCTTTTTTTCTTTTAGTGTTCTCTGTCCTTAATGTTTTTCTTTTTCTCATATTCTTTCACATTCATTAACCACTTGTCTTAGAGGTTTTATTGCTTTACTTGTGAAATGATTAAAAAATATCTTAATTCTGTAGAAATTGCTTTGTTTATGTTTCCCATAGAAAACTGAGCCATAATACACACTGTTTAATAAATAAAATGTGGTCTCTATTTCAAATATGAAGTATCCTCTATATATATATATATATATATATATATACACCTCCCTCCAAAAAATGCAATACCTAAGGTTTAAAATGATGCAGTTTAAAAATCTAAAATTTTTCTTAAATCTTTTATTTTAGTCTTAATTTCAAGCTAATAATTTAAATTTAATATTTCTAATGAGCAAAGTACTTTGTTGTATTCCAAACCAAATTTAAATTGATTAGAATTATTATTTTTTATTTTTTACTAGTATGTTTCAGATAGTTTGGTAGGTTTTTGTGTGTGTTTAAATGAGTCCTAACTGAGCTATGGCCAGGTAGGTAGTAGAAAATACAAGTATAATAGCCTCATCCACATGTAAAAAGAAAAGATAAATAAATAAAAAATAATGGAAGCTCTAATAATAAAAAAAGTAAAAGCCAACACTCAATAACATTGAACACAGCTGCAATGTGCTGACTGTTTTCAGAAAATAAAATATTCATATATCTTTAGACACATGCACAAAAACCCACACATTTAGTTAAAAATAAAAAATAAAAATCACCCTTGATAATGACTAAAAGAATAGCCAAAAGCACTCATCAGATATGCAGAACTTTTTGACAGTTTTTACATACTTTGTGTCCAGAAAAGAAAACACTTGTACAAATACAAGAAAAATTATATAAAAAAACTTAATTGCAGTACCTTGTCAGTTGTCTTTAAAAAAACATACATTGATAATTCTATGGGCATGTTACCATTTGGGATGAACTAAATGACTATAGATATTTAAGCTTTACTCAGTCTAGCATAAGACTTGATTAAAAACAGTATGAAGATTGTGTTGCACCAGTCTTCCAAGTGTGGGAGTGGTTCTTGCTTGCTTTGAAAATCACTATATGGAATCTTGTCTTTTAACTGGGCTTGAACACCAACTACTTGTGCCAATTTAGAATTACACAACTATTTCATATGTAAAGCAGGCCTGATAAGTCACTATAATGTGAAAGTAGATAATACTCGGGAATTATAGTTCATAACAAGTTATTAGCAGAAGGGCAAAGTTGATATAGTAAAAGGGTAAATTGAGACGCAAGGTTTATTTTTAAATGACATGGCTTTTCTCATAAACACTTTCATTTATTGGTGTTTTATATTTGGTTTCATTACTATTTAGTAATTTTCAGTCTTCAATATTAAATGTTGTTGATCCAAGCCAGTTCATAACTACTAAAAAAAAAAAATACCCTCACAGATGAGTCCTTCATTTTATCTGTTAAGCTTTTGTTAATGTAGCTATCCAAGTATGACAGTGTTGATTCAGATATAATCTTTTAGTAATATAAATAAAATGCTTCTGTCCATATTTCTGAGATGGGTTACTGTAACTATTTACATTGTTTGGATTGTTGTCCTCATCTTTATTGTCATATTCATGATGTTTCAGCCATTATACGTTCCAGCCTTCTTCAGGTTATATGGTTCAGTGTTGGTTGAAGTAATCTAATACTCTGACCCAGAGAGTTGTGAGTTCAATACCTGGCCACAGCAGAGGTGAACAAACTCTTGGAGAGTTGAGTTACTAAAGGGAATTAACTGAAACTGATATATCCAGAAAAGGCATGGAACTAAAACAATCTACCCCAGTGGACAAAATAAAGGGTTCAGTTCAAAATTCCAACATATATCATCTGAAGAAGGCTGAAGCATACAATGGACAAAACATTGTGAATACGACAATAAAGATGACAATAAAAGGCTGTTATTAAGTTGCTTTTTAGTCTTGATCTTAATCACCAAAGTTGTAAAATTTACAAGCTAGAAATTTTTCTCTATAGATTAAAAGAATCCTTAAAATGACCAATGTCTATTTTAATTGTGCCATTATTATGGCTTAGACAGGAGACCATGATAATAAAGTTTCCTTAAAACAATCTCTAAGTTTCTTTGATGTAAATAAACATCTTTTTCTAAGAGCAAATAAAGCTCCCGTCCCCCCTTTTACAGATAGTCCTCAACTTAAAATAGGATTAAGGAGATTGTAAGTTAAATGCAATTTTAAATTCTCTAAAGATAAAAAATTCAGTTCTCATTTATTAATATTTTTTTCTTAATATAAGGTTAATTGACACAATTGTTTGGTTAAAATAAAAACCGTTTACAGTTCAAAAGATGTTGAGAATGTATCAGCAGCAGGCAGGGATTACGACCACATTGCATTGAAACATTAGTTCCCATATGATTGCCAAAGTTAAGCAATGTTGAGACTAGTCAGTAGCTAGATGGGTGACTGCTTGGGAATACCATGTACTGTAAGCTTGGATGTGCGGGTAGTATTATGGATAATGGCTAGGAATTGTTAATCAGAGAGCCAAGTTCTATTTTGGGGTTGGCTTCGTTATATTCACTTACGTGCAAATACCCTTGCGAAAGGTATGAATCCATCTCTTCTCCCCACAGCTATGGGTTAATTAGTATGACTTGTATCATTTAAATCATTATTTCAAAAAAACAAATCTTACAATCTAAAAATATTTTCTGGCTTTAAATAACCTGTAAAGGGTTGATAAGCCGTAAAAAATATCAATCAATAAAAAAGCATCAGGCAGGATGGATAATCATTAAATCAAAGGGTCCATATTTTTAGGTTTAGGTTTGTCCCATAGCATGATAACCTAGTGGATTAAAATGTTGGTTCATGAATTTGGTGACATAGACTAAGTTTGCACTACCAATTACTAAGTTGAAATAGGGTGTGCAATAAGAACAAGAGAAAATGTCCCTAGACATTGATGGTACAACAAAAACAATTCACCCTCAGTTCGAAATGTTAACCATACTGACAAACATTAGAAAGAAGGCCAGAGAGCATGATGGCCAAAATGTTATCACAAAAACAAGATTGGGACAATAGTCCAAATATAAATAATGATAACTTTTCATTACAGAAATTCTTTTAGATGATGGCTCAACACCACAGTTATGTCAACACTGACATGTGAATGAAGAACAACTCTTAGAAGTTAACCAACTGATGATAGTGTAAAAAAAAAAATCAAAAAAAAATCCTTCAACTAGAAAAGGGTTAATTCAATGTTCTAACCCTGACTGGATAAACACAGTAATTTAAAAACAAAATATGTTTTTAAACACTCATTTTTAATTTACCCATCATTTTCAGATTACTAGTTTTTGTTTTATTTGTGACCAACTACTCTCCACCTGACGGGTGTTTTGACCAATTCTGAGGAAAAAAAATAAATCATTCTTGAGTGTTCTTATTGAGATATATATCGGCAGCACCTGTTCACATCCAAGCATTGGGATCATCATCCTCTCTCCCTATTTCCTTTCTCTCCCTTGATGATAGTATTCGAGTTGGCTGTGAAAGAGTTTGATGCGACTATTCACATGAATTTGATTTTGGTGGACAACTCTGCATGACAGAAGCCCATACACTTGGCCAGATGTGCCTCCTTTATGGCTCAAAGGGGATTGTAATAGGCAAGATTTGGCAAACATGGTTGCATCAGGCTAGTGGATGCTTGGGCCATCAAGGTCTGTTTTGGTTACGTCAGCCTGACTGGAACTGCCTCTTCCACTGGTTTGGCTATTGAGATCATGTACATTTTTGCCTATTCTGCTGTTGGGGTCTTCAGAGGTTGGTCGTCTTCAGTCTGGTCATACCTCCTCCTTGACCTTACCACCATGGGTAGCCCTACAGGAGCTGTAACTCCAGACGACTTTGCTCTTGGGATCACTGGGACATGCAAACTCTCTACCATGACAAGGAATGAACATATATATTTTACACAGTTCATTATCAAATATGATACTTTGACTTGTTATTTTAATGACAATAATAGAAGAAACAAATCAATAAATAAGAAAATTATAAAATTCTCATTAAATATATGAGAACATTTTTTATTATTGCTATTGCTAAAAATAAATATTTGAGAGGAAGGAATTCACTAATATATATATATATATATATATATATATATATATATATATATATATATATAATCATACTTATTATAAAATCCAGGTTGTGTGTGTCTGTATGTTTATATATTGGATCGGATTTCCTACATTTTTCAACCGATTTCAACAAAACTTCACAGGACTATTTAAAATTACCTTGCGGTGGTTCTGATAGCGCCTAAAAATTGGAAAAACACAATTGTTTTTTGCACGAAATCAATTTGAAAACATGATTAAGAGGCATCGAGAATGAAAGGGGGGGGACAACTCATATCGGGTTATACTTATTATAAAACACAGGTTGTTTGTGTGTGTCTCTGTGTTCGTTTATATATGGGATCGGATTTCCTACATTTTTCAACCGATTTCAACAAAACTTCACTTTTTTTTTTTTTGGCAGGTAGTGTTTCTTATTGTCTTGCACACTTTTTTCTTTATTTTTACATTCAGAATGCTTTAAAAATTCCATTTACAAGACAATTGTTTATAATAAAATTCTATTCAATTGGTAGACTCATAATGATTGAAAACAATGTTTTTGTTTGAGTTTGGGTTTGACCAAAAAAAAAAAAAAAAAAAAACCTAATTAAGACATTAAACAATAATCTTTGTCAATTTTATTTTTCAGTCTTTATGATGGTCGATACTTGATCTACCTCTTACTGTTACATCCCCTGGCAACGCTGGGCTCTACTGCTAGTATATATATATATATATATATATATATATATATATATATATATAAAAAGTTACTTCAAATGCAGCTCAAACAGGGATTGGAATCTAGCAGGGTGATAAAATAAAGAACAAATAGGAAATGTATATCAATCTAACATGTTTTTTTATTAAAGCTTTATCAGAGATTGAGAGAAAACGGACAGAAACTGGTATTTTCAATTTTGTTTGGGTCAGTTCTCGTTGGTCAAACAAGTGTCATGTGCCTTAAAACCATAGATAATTCTATATGTATGTAAGTTTATGAAAATTCTTATATGTCTAAGTGGGCATTGGATGGTAATGTGTGTTATTACCAACTATAAACACATGCCTAAAACATTACATTGTCGACTTTCATTAAATCCATTGTTAAAGAATCTAATTTATAACTAATACAAAGAATACATGCTTAAAAAGATCAGCCATGAATTAGAATGCTTGACTGCACAAAGTTGAAGATATTAGAACTACCACTAGACAGGCACACACACACACAATTACAAACACACATTACCATCCGATGCCCACTTAGACATACAAGAATTTCCACAAACTTACATACATATAGAATTATATATGGTTTTAATGTACATGACACACGTCCGACCAATAAGAAATGATCCAAACAAAATCAAAAATACTAGAGATTTATCTGTTTTCTCTCAATCTCTGAAGCGTTAATAAAAGTGAAACATATTAGATTGTTATATATTTCCTATTTCTTCTTTATTTTATTATATATATATATATCTCCAAACAAGTTCTTTGCTAAATTCAACTGATAAGATATGTCTTAATTTATTTTTACTATGTTTTTCCAATAAAAAAATACAATACAAAATTATGACCTCATAGCTTGTTGATGAAATTTAACAAAGAACTATTTTGGATCAATTCTTGTTGCCTAATATATATATTTATATAAAGCATAGTTGTCTTTGAAATTTTAGTTGAAGCAATTTAAATTTTTTTTTTTTTTCATCTTAATTCTGCTACTTTTTATCACAACTCCCATTTTATAGTTATAGCAAGCAATGAGGATTGCACATAAAAAATAAGCCTCTGCTGAGATTTGAACTCGCATCCCTTATCCTTGATGTTTCCATGATAATGCTTACTGATTAAGACCTGAAAGTTAATCTGTGGAAATCATTCAAAATGCACATTTATTAAGTGCAGCCTACTCTGACACAAGCCACATTAGTGAAACCATCTTACAAAGAAGTTCATCAGCAATTCTTTGCAAGATGAGTTTTGCTGTCCAAGACTTCAGAAGCAGATGCTTTTATATTTGTCAGTGGTTCATGCCCCACCTAAGCATCTCTAAAATCCTCATGCCGCACCGCATATTATATAATTCTCATTATTCAAAAAGTGAACTTGGAGGAAGCCTAAAAGGCCTTTTAATTTGGTCTAAGCAAACTTTCAAAGAATATGCTATCCATGAAAGAGAAGAATAAAAGAAAAGGACAGTTGATGTGCTGAGGAAGAAATTATTAAGAAATATTTAAAAAATTACACATGTACATACATACATTTTTTGTATGCATACTGTATATGCACTGTATATATTAACCCACACTAATACTCACTAGAAAAAATTCACTGTTAATAACTCCTCAAAATGTCTCCTGTGGGGCTTACACCTCATGTTGGGAACCATGGGACTAAGTCAACTTTGACAGAAAGCTAGATTCTTAGAAAACTCATTAAAGGACAAACATGTTAAGAATGGTCTGTGAAATTTGTCTGTTAGCCAAAATACCAATCTTTAATAACCAGTCTTAAAATGTATAAGTAAGCTATACAGATAATCAGAGAAAGCTGAATCTTTAAGTAAAAAGACAATTCTTTTAATAAAACATAAAATGAGTTTTCTTTTTGTCCTGTTGAGGATTTAACTATGAAAATGGAAGAGAAAAAAAACCAGCTTTGGAAATCAATTATTCATCTTGTGAGGTTCTGACAAAAGTAATCTTCATGACTTTTCTTTGTGTCTTTTGCTAAAAGAATTGCTGCTGCTAAAGTGACAGTCTCTTTGATTGTTGTTGATCTCTGGGGCCTTTAGTGTTTGCTGCAAGCAGACAAGCATCAATCTTGTATTTGCATAACTATGCCAGTCACTTGTGAAATTTTCCCCACAAATGACAGTTTTGTCTCTACACAAACGTTTTCATTCTCTATATATCACTGTAGATAAATACTCTTGTATACCAAATACAAATACTGGTACCGTTACATTATTTCTTTCATTGTCTCTGACCACCTGGTATGGTGCTTATTTGGTATGGTATGTTGGTTATTTTTCAAATTATTTTCTCTGCGGTGTGATTTTTTTTTTTTTTTTTTTTTTTTTCAGAAATCAAAAGCTTATTTTATAAATTGAAAAAATTCCCACCAGTATAACTATTCGAGATAGTACTTGTATCTTTTACAAAAGAGTATTAATTTTAATTCTTAAAATCTAAAATTGCATTTGACTAATAATAGATGCTTTCCAAAAGCTAAACAAAGTATTAATAAACAGGAAAATTTCATTAAAAACAAAGAAAAGAATGCTGAACTGCTAAGTTCAATCCTACTACATTGAAAACAAAAAGAGAATTTAGAATA